TAAGGAAAAAACAATTTATGGGTATGTTAATTAAGGAAAAAACAATTTGAAATATATTTTCATTATCCGTTTTTATTTGAGCAGTTAATTAAGAGTCAGAACAGATAGCAATGGACCTTTAACCTTATAACTAAAATGTTCATATTTTGATCTAGACAAAAATTTCATCACAGCTTGAAAGAGCATCACAAATATCATAATATGGGTGTCAATTTCCCGTTTGTAATCTAAAATGACTGAAAATTGCAAACTTCGCAGGGCTATATTATCCGCATTTTACAACATTTCGCAACGAAACTTCGGAATATTACTAATTTTGTGATGGTCGTTCATGATCAAGCTGTGATGAAATTTTTGTCTAGACTTGTCTAGATCAAAATTTTAGTTATAAGGTTAATTGGTCCATTCCAAGGTGTAAAATACTTGTGAAGGCTTCATGCGCTTCTCAGTTCTCATACATTCCAAGATCATAGAAATAAACTCATGTAGCAGAAAAATTATAAATCATAAACTTTGACTAATATTTGATGATCTAAAAAAATCATAAACTTTGACTAGGATTTGATGATCTAAAAATCTTCGTACGGTTTTTAAAATAAATCAGACGAGATTTATGACGATTTAAAACGCTTTCAGTGCAATATTCAAAATACAATACGTTGCAATGATAAAATACGTGAGGGATCCAAATTCGCGAAGGGAGTCCAAATTCGCTGTAGCAAATAAAGACCCCCATAAGTCCATATTCGCTAGCGGATTTGGACCGGGGGGTCCATTTTGAGGGGAGTCCAAATCTGCTGGGACACCTGTCAAGCAAATTAAATGTGCTCAGTCGCAAAATTAAGTTATTAAGACGATTTTTCTACGTCAAGGCGCCACACGATTCATGGAGCAGAACCTTAAACACTGATAAGAAAGAACATTTTTCAGTTATTGTGTGTTTTTTTTGTTAGTACTTTCCGTTTAAAATATTATATGGCCTTGTCAAGGCCAAATTTTAGGACAGAATCCGATGCTCATTGTTAAAATTCTCGTCATTGCAGTCACGTACATTGATACACAAACACGTGAATAAGACTCACAGCTTGTCAACAAGATGTCAGGGTTTTTTCAGGATTTTCTCTTGGGTCCGTTTTTGCAGAGAAGATTGAGTTAAGCTGAACAGTTGGTGTGGCTGCACCCCCTCTCCTCAACAAATGTAGTTGAGACGCAATGCGTTAAAGCAGGGGGCACTAAGGGACACTATAAAGTGGTTGAAGACGGCGAATGCATAGTTTTTCTTGTGTTGTGAGATGAATTCCAGCCATTTTTCTTAATTGTCGGATTTCCAACTTAAAACCAATATCCACACGTCACGAATTTAAACTCAAACAACTTCATTTTTACTGCACTGAAACTTTGGTGAGAAGATTGAGTTTCAAAACTCAATTCAAGATTGAGCTTTTGGGGCCGTTTTACCACCCTAAAAATCCCGGAAAAAACCCTTGGATGTGTTCGCACTGCTTGTTCCCAGTTGTTCACAAGTCTGGAACATTGAACTATAAGTAAACTGGAACTATAAGTTGGCCGCCATCTTTGAAGCCGTACATACCTGCAAACAGGCTATACTTGAGCACCCGAAATTTGGGATCACCCAAATAGGCCTTTATCATTACACTTTACTTATAGTTCAATGGTCTGGCCGGAACAAGTTGTTATCATCTTGTAACAAGGTTGATGAGCTCAACAGACTCGCAACAAGTTGTTCCAACAAATCTGATAACAAGCTCGTAGCAACCCTTAACGAATAGCCAGTATGTTACACTTGTTGGAACAACTTGTAGCATACACATTGTTTTCACCACTCGAAGATAAAAGTCATTAATCTTCACGCCGCTATGTAATATCCTCTATATATACAAAACATTTGGTACGTATGCTCATGAACATGCTCATCCCCGACCCCCCCCCCAAAAAAAAAATACGAATCATCTGGATTGGCAGGGAAATCAAAGATTGTAAATGATAGAATGTAGAGTTATTGAGTAACTTACAGGGAATTTATGGAATCCATAGACCTAAATTTTACAGATACTGGTCCAAAAAAAGGGTTTCACACATGTTTTAACAGGAATTTGTATGAAAAAATTGTTTGAACCATAATTTAACTGGTTTGTGTCTGGAAAAATTTTTCGACCATCTTTTTTTAATGTTCGGAAAATTTTTTTTTTGGGGAAAATATGGTCTCAAAAATAAAAATTTTCTGCAGGGCATCATCAGTTTTGGCAGGGAAATTCTGGCAGATACCCCCACGAATTAAGAGGGGCTAGTTTCGGCCCTGCATCATACAGACACCCCTGATCCTCACCCCAACCCCCACTTTAACCCCCTCCTAATCAGAAGCACCTGACCCCACACACTGAGGCGGGGTGGAACGAAAAACTCCCCAACGCGGTGCAACCTACCTCCTTGTCCACTTTTAGCAAACCCAAACACATCCACCCCTTAGGATGTTTACACAACTCATAGATTGAGTAAACGCCAGGATTCAATTAGCTTCAAACTTAGACGCTTTATACTTTCATCGATCCTGAACTGAAGTTATAATAATAAGTGTTTAAAATCACGAAAACGTGCGAAGATAGAAGAATAAAAGCACTTAAGACAGTAAAAACTCAATCAATTTTACTTGTTCTGTCAAAACAGAAAGTTGGACAAGTCAAAAAACGCTTTCCAGCGTGAAAAACTATCGTAAACAGTATTAAATTTGACCAATATAAACACTGATGCAATATTTATACTGAACACTTGACAAAATTGATTGAATCGGCTACAAACTGAAGCATTTAGCTCGCAAACAATACCTGCAGTTTTTGTATTTATTCCAAATGATGCACCAAAGTTCACTTTTCAAAATACCGAAATATACGGCAGTACCCAAAGAATTTCTTATTGAATGTTCATAGAAATTCATCTGGAAACACTTGGCCAGTATTATATATAGCTTTTTCTTGCACATATCTTGAAAACTGATTGAAAACGACACAGGAATGAGCAGAAAACAAGAAAACAAAAATTTGCTTCGAAAAAGACAAACATGTCGTCCCAGATTAATAGACCAGGCGGAGAAGGGGGGAATAGTCCCCCGACGGGGAAATTTATGAAACCAAGTGAACTTGGCCAATTTTGGGGTGCTGAATTCGAAAATCGTTGGTATACAGGCCGTGGACGTGGCCTTCAGCCTCGTTTTCGCGTTTAAAGCCTCGTTTTAATGCGAAAACGTTATCCGCTCGATTGAAGCGAAAACAATGAATAATTTGTTTAATATACTCACTTTTAGGTATTTTTAGGTGCAGAATTCGAAAATTAATTGCATTCGGACGATAAACTGGGCTATCTGCCTCGTTTCCGAGATTTATAGCCGCGTTTTTACGCTTTGAAACCATGTTTTCCGATTTTAGTTACTAATATATTTAAATTACACTTTATGCACGCATGTTACCAGTACAAGGCAATGTGTCATACTTTAATGCATAAAACAGGCCATTTTGTGTACAAACATGAAATTTTTTAGCCCCGTACCGAGCTGACGTTTGGGCATATTTAATTTTAAAATTAGTACGTTCTCGTCGATCTCTTGCAATGTTGCAAAATATCCCAAATTCGCGATTTCTCTGTTTTAATTGATTAGTTCGAATAAAAAAGCATTTCGATGCGGACAATTTATCTATTTTTCTAGATCTTAAGTGCTATAAGGTTTTTAACGATCGGTAAACGTAAATATCCGCGCGACAATGCTTGGTCTGAGCAAAATAATTATTACTGAACAAAATAATTATTGGCGGAAGTTGTCGATTTCACGCTGTAAACAACATTAAAAACATAACAGAATTCTAAGTGTTATTGTTTCACAGTTCATCGAATTAGCAATCAAGAGTCGTTTGAATAGGTTTTAGAGACGATGTAGGAAGAAATGGCCGATTGTGTTGTTCACTATGACTCACTGGACACATCTAGTGATAAACTGATTCGACCAAGTGCAAATACATTTGAAACTTTGCTCGAGTGTAAGAAAATACGAGAAAGTCTGGGCGGTGAAAATCATCACATTGATCAATGCAACAAAATTCCAGAGCATTTGGGAGAAATTGAGTACTTCTACCATCGAAAATGTTTTCAAAAGTTTGTATATGCCAAAACGTTATTGAAACGGAAAACAAGCCAAGACGGCTGTCAAGGTTCCAATAGCAAGCTTCAAAAATCAACAAGAAAAACATCACAAAGACAAAGTGATGAAGCTACTGGCTCTAGAGGACTGTTCCCGAATATATGTATGATTTGTAAGAAGAAGGAGTTAAGGGTTAAAAGTGTACGCCAGTCACTATCTAGGATTATTATACATTTAATATGTATTCTCGTTTCTAATTGGTCAGAAAGCACCGGCTAATTTTCAGTATTCGGCATTTATTACGTATTTTCCGCCGATGACGTCATCAGCGTCCAATAATTGTTTTTTTGGATCGAACTTGCATCCAAAAAAAAAATTATTGGACTCTCTCGTGCCCAAACCCTTGCGCGGCCAAAAGCTTGAACCTATAAGCGCGCGAAAAAAACAAACAAACAATGGCCTACAGCAGATTTGCTTCGCTGAATGAAAGTGAACTCTCCAAATTATTGGCAGATAAGGATAGTGAAAGCACGAAAAAAGCCACAAAGGGGTAAATAGAAGTAGAAATAGAATATTTAGCTGACCTTTGACTTTGTGCAAGGTGTTTGATATTCAAATTGTACTTTTCCTACCTCATGAACAGGAATCGTTTTATACGTTTCTCATGTCTTTAAATGTATAATAAAACAATTATTGGATTCGGCTTTCGCATGATATCAAGAATTATTCAGACCTCGGTCTATGTTATCCGCCTCAGCTTCGCTTCGGCAGATAACATTGACCTCGGTTTGAATAATTCTTGATATCATGCTCAGCCTCATCCAATAATTGCTTATTGTCACCGATACTGCAGAAAGAACACTAAAAGAAGCTGCAATTGCTCACAATGATTTAGAAATGATGACAGCCGTCACCGAAACTGATTTGAAAGCAAAAGAATTTCAAAAACACGAAAAATGCTATCTTGACTATACTAGAGTCGTCAGGAAAACAGCTGAATCAACCGAAGGTGGAAATGATGACAAACAATCAGGGGACTACAACGCAGTACTTTCTTTGGTAGACAGTGATATTATAGGCGGTCAGCAATGTTTGTCAATGGAAACACTAATGATAAGATATTGTGGTAATATTGGAACAAGGCAAAGCAGACACAATGCAAGCTGAAGGAACGCCTTACGAAGTCATTTGGCGATCAAATAGTGTTTCTTCAAGCAGAATATCATATTTCGCAAGTGGTGATAAGTAAAGAATGTTTGCACAATCAGATGATTTCGGGAAGTTCTACACGTATTCAACAATC